AGTCATCTACTCCTATTCAAAAGATCATAAAATGTATCTCTCCCAGAAATTTCAGGAGTTGTAAACCTGAAGACTAGTCTTATTTTCCCTGTGGAGACATTGATTTGCATTCCAAAGAATAAGTCTTTATCCTTCTCTTCCTGAGGGAATTTGTGTACATTAGAGAGATTAAGCTTTTCTTCTTCTTTCAAGAGGTGAAGGAAGCAAAATATATATAATGTACCAGGTTCATATTTCCAGGGCTCCTCTCCTACAATACAGACCCTGGTACATGTAGGGTGGCATCTGGCTCTCATCACATTGCCCAAGAAGAGAGGAGTGAACCAAAGAGGAGTCAACGTGGTTATTTCTGAAACAATAATAATTCCTCCCAGCCCAGCAACCTTGAATCTACTTTCAAAATAACAAGAGCAGATATAGACGTTAGAACTCATCACATAATAACCATGTGCTATTGCTTTTTCTATTTGTAGGTCAAGCTTGAACACAAACAAACAAAAATGATCATTGTGGTGATAAGCAATCTGGGTTTGAGAGCAGTTATTTCCGGGAGTTGTCTGAGAAGCCCAGGCATCCAGCTGGTAGAGAACAGGACCATGGAAAGGTGTGGTCCCTTCACCTGCAAGGAGGAGAAAGGCACTGACTTCATGGAAAACCTAACTTGAGTCCAACTCTTCTGCTTGGAGAAGGGGACCTGATGGCTCAGTCTTCTATTTAACGTGAGTGAGTGATAAGGATACTTTCAGACAGGCCTGTTCCTGGTGCCACAGGAAACAAGAGTGTGGTTGGTTGGTGCAGGTCTGGCTATGTGGAGGCTGCACATGGTGCAATACAAAAACAATCTAAGCATGGAGGATGTTGGTGAGAATATCTGAAGTACTTGGCAAATGTTCTAGATTAAATAGGAAGGAAAATGGAGTCTGGCGAAATTCTAGAATATTGGAAGACTGGAAAGTAAAGAGTTATGGTGGTCATGTCAAGCTGAACACCAACTTTAGTGGGAGAAGTGTGGGGATTTGTGAAGAATTGTTATTTAGAATCAGTCAGAGGAATATTAGGTGTTAAGGCATGAAAGATGTTACAGCTCTGAACAGTGAGACAGTGCAGGATGTTATTCTAAGAACAGATTGTGTAAGTAGAAAGAGCAGAGAGTCGTTGAAGAAAAAGGGTGAAGGAAAGCCACAACTTCAAACAGTCTTTTTGTGCAGATCTTCAAGTTGCCAAGCATTAAATCAAAGTGTTGGAACTAGTCTATTATCTGAGTGCCAAAGGTATGAGTGAAAAATGATGAGGATGAGATGGAATCGGTGTAACTAGGAGATGTAATTGTCAAGAGGTTTTGCAAGAAGCAGTCTAGAAGCAAAAATAAAATGTCTAGAAAAATAGTAAGCCAATGTCAAGACCCTTAACTATAAAGAGATGAGAGATGAGGATATAAAAATGAGGAGCACATACTGGAGACTCTTCCATGAAACCTCGTTTCTATACATTATATAAATAACCCTTTAAATGATCTGGTAACTACTTCTAAATTAAACTTAAAACTAGTTAAAATGATTAAGTCTGAATTCATCAAACCTGGTTTTGAAAACAACTCTGCCATTCACTGGCACAGGAAAATTACCTATCTTCCCTATGCATAAATTTTCTAATCCATAAACTATGGATGTTAATGTCTATCTTACTGTATTGCTTTGGGTATATGTATAAGCTGTATCAACCATTTAGCATAGGGCAAGGTACAGAGTCAGAGTCCAATTCAGGGCTTATTTCATTACAGTGGAACCTCACTTCTCAAATTTAATTTGTCCCAGAAAGCTGTTCAAGAAGCAATTTGTTCCAAAAGTGAATCATTTGAATTAATTCATTGCAGATCCCCAAATAATTCCGTTTTAAACTTTCTCATATACAGTACATGTCTCATGTACTGTTTAATAGATAAACAAACACTTATTTTCTTAAACTTATGGAACCACTCCCTACTGGCCTTAAAGGAATCACTTTCTGCACTCTTCCCAGGGGGTCAGAAAGCGGCATCTTTGCTTTTTCACATATCCCTGCTTCCAAAATGCTGTCACCAGCCAACTGCTTTCCATTTATCCAAATCACAACAGTTTTTCTACCTCTTCAATTGCCTGTGATCACTGTTTCATTCACACCCTTAGCAATATAAACACTATTGACGGGCTCTTTATGTTTTAAAATTGTGCTAATCGTTCAGCTCGCACCAACAAAAGCAAAATAAATAAATAAATAAACAAATAAGAATATTCACAGCACAATTTACTGAGATATTAATGTCACCAGGAGATACAGTGGTACACTTGCATTCTCTCCTTTGTTTATGGCCTGAGAGATGCTTTTAGTCATGCTGATGCATCAGCATGAAAGGGTTGTCAGGTCTGAGAACTGAAGCTTTGTGCCACAACCCAGACACATTTTCTATGAATAACTTCAAGAACCGAATTATTTGAGATGGTAGACATTCAAGAACCGAGGTTTAATTGTATTTCCTTAACATCTCTTCTCCAGTAATGACCTCATCGCCAAGTTCATTATCTATTTTTTTCTATAAAGTGTTCTTTTTCCTTTTTTGCCTTCATTATATCTTCTAGCTATTCTCAAGGTCACAGGTTATGTTATCCAGCAGAAGACACTGAGATGGAGATAAATATCTATTAGAAACAACACATGTAGAAGGGAGTGGAGGATAGAAGAATTGGGCAGGAAAAAGACATTGAATTTTGATGCAGGCGCAATAAGCCTGCCCCATGGGACAACCTGGAGTAAGTCCTGCCTATCAGTATTGACTCATGTTTGGCCAAAATGTCTCATGTTAATATGCCTTACTCAACTACTTACCAGATACAGTGGTCAAAGCTATGGAGTAACCTCCCAGCGAGGTGTCTCTCTGCAGTGGAGGAAAATCCCAGGGCAAACTGCAGGGGCCAGCAGCTGAGACTGTCCGCTGACCACTTTCCCAGCAGCTGGGACAGGTCCTTCCTTAAGAGAAATTCTGGATGGCTCTTTCCCACGTCTACCACCCTAATCCATGCCTTATCTTAGGTACTTATTTAAAAAGTCTTTATTTATATCATTGCTTTATACGTTTCATTCTTGCATTCTTAACTGAAATGGAAGCCACATATTTATATCCACTTACAGGAACCAAGTTTAATATTTCTTCTGAAGCCATCATATCACCATATACAATGCCAAGCAAATAAATAAAAGAAAGTACGCACTTTTGAACCTTGGATAAGATAATGCAAATGATAGCATCTCCTTTACTTGTAATTGCATTGTTAATATTGTCATAGTTGAGTATGTATTTTAGAATAAGCATCAATAACCCAAAATTTGTAGCAGACTTTGTGTATTTAGTCCTGACAGTAGACATTTATTTAATACAAGTGTATTAACTTCCTATTGTATGTCAAGTGTTGTTCTGAACCTTGGGAATACTGCAGTAAACAAAACAGACCACACGTAATGCTCTTGTGGAGACTGTATTCCGGTGGAATTACAGTGGCTTTCCAAAGAGGAGCACCCCAGCTTCAACTCAGAACAAAGAAATCTATTATAACTGACCTGGAAAAACGGTGGCCTCATTCAGAGGAATGTTCTCGGTGTCTGACTCATTCATTAGGGCAGCCGGCTTGTCTTCTATTCCCACTGGAGATTACAGTGCTGGATTTTTGGCATTTCAATAACAGTTTTGGGTTAACCCACAAAACCCAACAGTCTTCCTCTAGTTCCTGATGAAAGTCATTGGGTGGTGTCTGTATTCTCTTTCTTTGTGCAAAAACACATAAATCTGACCACATCCATATCCTATGTACTGCACTTCCTCCCACAAGAGTGACGAGAGGTCTCATACAAGCACTCTTTTATTCCGCATATGGCTGAAGCAAGGGGTTGAGGTAAGGGTTCTTACTCGGGAAAAATAACCACATGATTAAGTGGGGAGGTCTGGCTGGCAGCTAATGTATATTTTCTAGGTGCCTATCATGAGACAATAGTCTTCTTAAACAATGACAACAATCATTTGATTCACGCTATTACCTTCATTTCTAAATAAGCTTTTGTATTATGTGACCACCAACAGGAGTGCTCAGCCAAACAGTATCTACAGAAGGCAAAGAAAAACTGGAGCTTCAAGCTGCAGTGTGGGCAAAGGCAGAGGTCAAAATTATGCGTTTTAAAAGTGCTTCACCCTGGCAGTGTCTTCTGGAAGTGTAAGCCAGGCCTCCTGGGGGAGCTGGAGTGCTCTGAGCACTGGCGCTTTGTGATTCCATCCCAGAGGACCATGCAAATGCAGATCCCAGTTAGCTCAGAGCTTCTCGCTGTGCCTTAGTCATGTTTAAACCATGTGAGCTGGTGCAGTGAAAAACAGTGCAAAAGCAGAGAGGACACTCAAGCATCTTCCGAAAAGAGGAAATGAAATGAAGGCGGCTAAGCAGATGCCACCTGAGCATATAGACCATGCCAACTCTTTTCATAGGTTATTGCACATGCTTGTGTCTGTGAATGCACAAAAGGTATTATGATCACTGGACATAGACATTATTGTTGTTATTATCATTGTTTAATTCAACTGCAACCTGAACTATATACCCTTTCTCTTTTAGAAATACTCTCCTACCATGGGCATTGTCAATTTGAGGCAAAACATTGATTAGCTTCCCTTGTTGCCCCCTAGTGAGATTACAATTTTATGTAACACTTTAAAAATTAGTGGCTTGAAGATATGAGAAACCATTCATGGTCATTTACACAGGATTTACTCTAAAGTTTTAAAAAGACATTAAAGAAAAAAAAAAGAATTAAGAATTAAGAAGGTAAAGCAGTCTACACTGCTCTGAAGAACTTTGTCATAGCTATATTTTGATACATTTTCTATGCCTAGCTCTCAGAAATATTTTCTTGTAATAGAGGGTGGCACTACGTTTTTGTATAGATTGTAAAATATATCCTTCCTTTTCTTTTTTTTTTTTTTTCAGGGGAGAGTGTGAATGTAACCCCTACTAGCACAAATGATGCACGAGAGTTTCCCACTTTTGGGGAAATCGCAGGGGTCAGCACACCCAGAGTGCAACAGATGAGCCTCACCCTGGGAAAACCACCTTCAGGATCATGGTGTCTCCCCAGCCAGGTAAGCATTTTTTTCTTTTTCTTTTTCTCCTTACTTCCCTCTTTTCTTCCTTCCCCCTGCTCTTCTTTCTTTCATTTGACAGATACTGTCAAGTAGTATTACGGATAAAACTCTCTAAAAATTACTCATCTTGCTATTATTTTTTTGAGAGTTTATGGTATGCCTAATGCATCCCTTCTTTCTTATGCCTGGCTCTTCACTTTCCTTGCCAAGTGCAGCCCACACAACCCCCAAGGGCATTCGCTTATAAACCTCCCGTACGCTAGTGTTTGTTCCAGATTCCACTTCCTGTGGAATTCCACCTGCGATACCCGATACAGATATACCACTTCCATACCCTCTGCTATAATTGTATTGTATTTGACACTGGTCTAGTCTATCTTATTCTACTTATTTCTGTTTTATCTATCCTTTCTATCCTATCCTGTCTCCCCCTGTCCTACCCTATTCAATTCTACCCTATCTATCCCATCCTAACCTGTTCCATTCTATCCCGTTGTCTACTGAAGAGACAATAAAGAAATTGGAGAGTCCTTGTGAAGATCAGTTCATTGGACAGCATAACCATAATTTGAAACAAATATTATTTTTTGCATGCTTGCTCCCAAAATAAAGCTCATTATTCTAACTGTGGTTATAATAACAGGCAGGTTTTGCTTTGTTTTTTGTTTTTCATTACAAGCACATTAATTATAGTCCTCTAGACCATGCAAATTGGTACTTGAGTTATCAAGTTTTGTCAAAATATCATTACAATTCCTAGAAATGCCTATAAAAATGCATGTTAAAATGTAACTGATTACTCACCAGAGTTAAATAAAATATCAAACATAAACTTGAAAGATTCTTATCTAAAATACTTGATATGTCTCATCCTAAGTAACGGCAGTCAAGAAAGTTTGATTCAATCCATCAATGACTGAACAGAGAAGTAAAGACACCTTTCCTACTCTAAATCAGAATTTGGCCGGACAAGTTCGCAAGGCAGCAGCCCTCCACAAATTTGCTAATGATAGCAGGTGCTTGATCCTCATTTTCACTATAGTTTTCTGCCTTTGACCTGGTAACGCTTTTAAAACAAGCCATCTATCTCAGACTTCTGCAAAACCTTGTGTCAAACCATGTTAAATCTCTTTTTCCCAGTTATCCCTTACATGAGCCATACAAGTCTTTTTTCTTACTATGACATTTTAATATATGTATTAAACAAAATAAACAAACAACATAATTCTTCCTTTGATATGGTTGTTGGTTTTTAAAAATTAAATATAAAAAATTATTTAGGTGTAGTATAGTAGGAAAAAAAGCCCCTCTTATCTTGGGCTTCAATTTGCTGGGTTTAAATTTTATTGCTCAATGTTAAGAAAATATTTAAATGTCAGGTACTTCAAGTCTTCACTTTCTACATTATACATTATAATAATCAGTCTGGCAAGAACAGTTCAATATGAACTTAATGTAAAAATAACTTTTTAATGAAAGCTCATGAAAGTGTTAGACACATTATAGGAACTTGATTGTAGTTTAAAACAAATTAAAAATGAAGATATAAAGGTTAATTTGGGGTATATTTTAAAGTTGATGTTTTGGTGTTTCTTAAAGTATTTCAGGAACTATGCACATTTTTTTACAAATATCTTTTTTGCATATTGAGAAACTACTATATTCAGGACATGTCGTTAGGACTTAAAAAGATACAAGAATGAGTTTGACCCATTTTGGGTCCATAAAAACTAGAAGGAAAATGGGATAAAATATATAATTATCAGCATGACTTTGTCATTATTAATTATGGGAACACTTTCATAAGTAAGATGTATTTCTGATTTCAAAATAACATAAAATCACATATTAAATGTTTAATTTTTAATTTCTAAAATTAAAATTTTTAAGGGAAAATTGACCACTACACACCTGTTATAATGGCAAACCCAGAACCCGGACAACACCGTGTGCTGGTGAGGACATGGAGCGACAGGAAGTCTCATTCACTGCTAGTGGGAATGCAAATTAGTACAGTCACTTTGGAAGACAGGTTAGCCATTTCTTATAAAACTAAACATATTCTTACCATATAATTCAGCAATTATGTTCCATGATATTTACTTAAATAAATTGAAAACTTATGTCTACACAAAAATCTGCAAATCAGATGTTTATATTAGTTTGATTTATAATTTAAAAATTGAATCAACCATGTCCATCAATGTGAATGGTTAAACTAGGGTACATTCAGACAATGGAATACTATGCAGCACCTAAAAGAAACATTCTAAATCATGAAAAGGCAGGACAAATCTTAAGTGCATATTACTAAGTGAGAAAAGTCGTTCTGCAAAGCAAACAAACTCCATAACCCCAACTACATGACATCCTGTAAAAGACAAAACTATGGAGACAGTCAGTGGTTGCTTGGGGTTGGGAGGAGAAAGGAATAAATAGGCAGGAAACAAATGTTCAGGACAGAGAAACTATTCAGTGTGATAATAAGGCTGGATACAAATCATTACACATTAGTCAAAATTCATACAATGGAAATACGAATAATAAATCATAATATAAAATATAAACTTTGAGTGATGATGTTCGAATGTGGTTTCATCTGTGGTAACAATTACACCACTCTGCTGCAGAATTATGATAGTGGGAGAGGCTGTGTATGGCAGGGCAAGGTGACATGGGAACTGTCTGTACTTTCCTATTTGCTGTGAACCTAAAATTGTCATTTAAAAATGTCTACTAATGCCCTGGCCGGTTTGGCTCAGTGGTTAGAGCGTCGGCCTGTGGTCCAGAGAGACCCGGGTTCGGTTCCCGCTAAGGGCACGTACCTCGGTTGCAGTCTGTCCCCGGCCCTGGTTGGTCGTGCGGGTGGCAGCCACTCAATGTGTCCATTTCACATCGATGTTTCTCTCTCTCTCTCCCACTCTATCTGTACAAAAAATGGAAAAATGTCCTCGGGTGAGGATGAAACATAAATAAATACATACATACATACATACATACATAAATTTAAAAATGTCACAAACATAAATAAATTTATATTAAAAAATTTCAGGCAGTTTTAGTAAAACTAAAAAGCACCTCCTTTTTGTAAAAAAAAAATGGTGTTATGAAGTTAAATAACAAAAAATGATCTTAGAAAATATTTCCTTGTTTTGTATAAAATCACTTTTACATATTATACGTTTTTATAAAGAATTAATCATGGATATCAGCAAACATTGTTTTATAAATTTACCTAACACAATATTAATTTAAGGAAAACAATTTAAATGTTTCTAAATACCTTAACAACAGAGGATTTCTTAAATAAAAGATGATTTATAACATATAACAGGATATTTTACAACCTTTAAAACATGAATGCAGAATGGAATTAATGAAGGAACATGTGAAAAACAGAAAAAAATGGGGAACAGCCCTAGCAGGTTTGGCTCAGCAGTTAGAGCATCAGCCTGAAGACCAGAGAGTCTCGGAATCGATTCCTGTGAAGGGTATGTACCTCAGTTGCAGGTTCAATCCCTGGCCCCAGCTGGGGTCATGTAGCGGGTAATCAATCGATGTGTCTCTCTCACATTAATCTCTCTCTCTCTCTCTCTCTGTCTCTCTCTCTCTCTCTCTCCCCCCTTCCCCTCTGTGTAAAAATCAATGAAAAATATCCTCAGGTGAGAATTAAATAAAAAAGGGGTGGGGGGAGAACATCTATAATACTTTCAACAATAAAGAGAAAACGATAATAAAAGAAAAGTTAAATAGATAAACCAAGACTAAATTAATTTTTGATGACCTCAAATGTTATTTGTATATTTATTCATCAGCATTTGGAAAAACAATTCACCCCCAGCTAGATACAAAGGGAAAGACATTCTCCAGTTGAGTTGTCAAGAAGCCAGGTTAGAAATAGTCAGATATTTCAGTAGGGCCATTTTCACTCCTCCAAAATGAAGCAGTTGTCAAGATTAGTCATTAGCAAGCTCTCTTCCTGTCATTCATCAGTACTGATGAAAAAGGAGTTGCAGAAACAGCTGAACAGCTAATGTGTGTGTTTGTATTTTGTTAGATGCAGAATGAAGATAATATATATTACTAAATGGGGATTCCAGAGATTAAATGTGTTTTATTTTATATTGAAACACACACACACACACACACACACACACACAAAACAAAAATGGAGACTTAAAATCCATTGTAAAAGAAAGTAAAATAAGAAAATTAAAGTCACAAATTGATTCACCCAAAATATTTAAGAGAAAAGAAATCTTACTAAATATTCTCCACGCTAATTACTGAGAGAATCAAAGTTTAAATTGGATTAGATAAAACCAAAAATAAAATCTACAAATGCAGTTTCTTTCTACCTTAAGGACAAAATAAACTGAGGAACAAAATAGGACCAGAGGCAAGGATATAAGAAACAGACTGAAAGATCTCAGAGGTGGGGGGTGGGGAGGACTGGAAGAGATTAACTAAAGAACATATACACATATATCCATAGCCATGGACACATACATAATGTGGAGAAGGCCTTGGGGGACAAAGGGAAAAACGTGGGGGACATCTGTAATAGTGTTAACAATGAAAACATTATTTTTAAAGATTTGTACATTTTTATTTGAAATCCTGATTGAATAGACTCTATTTTAAATCACAGGGTTCAATGAATTACTACAAATGCAAAGGTCTGAGCTACCCAGCTAGATGCTATGTATTCCAAATGAACTGCAAAGCAAAATGAGATCAAAACCAAGTCTAACTCTTGTTTTATCTCCTGTCTTGTTTATAGGACATACAACATTAGTGGTGTTAGGCAAATATTACTATTTGACATATTTCTTTCTAACCAGGTTCACCCTACAGATTCCTGAGACTCCCCTCCCCCTTGCCTGACAGATGGAATAGGAGAGAAAAAAGAAAACAAAATAAAACAAAAACCTGAAACCTTAGACAACAACAACAACAAAAATCAATGTACTTCATCTAAATAGTTTTCAAATTCTTTGGCTGC